TTACCAGTGACAACTGTGAGCTGGAATTTCTGCAATGAGTTATTAGAGGTCAGTCTCTGCTATGAGTTACCGGACACCATGTCCTTAATATTTACACAGCAAAGGGTAAAAATATCTTTTCATATTAATTTTAAGAAAGCAGTGGCTACTTTTGCTCAACATTAAAAACACTGGATAAAAAGTAAATACCATATTAAAAAGTGGCTATCCCACGCCATTTCTACTTACTTTTCTTACTTAATTGTTCTTATTGCTTTAAGTCCATCTCGAAGTCACTAAGCTCGAGGCCACCACTGTCAAGTAACATTGATTTGATTCACTTATCTCTTTCATCTCTACTTCATATTTCTTGATTATTAATTGGTATTGAACTAAATCACATATCTTTAAAACCATAAATCAAATTTAATTGTTACTCGTATTTTCGAGGTAAACAATTATATTCTCTCTTTTTTTTAAAAAAGAATAATAATAACAGAGAAAATCATCGACGTGCATACTACATAGCGGACATTGAGTTGACACTACTCTCTAGTCTCCAGTAACAAATGAATGCTTTGAGTTTTCCAATCACATGTAATTCTTCAATCATTCGATCGACAAATATCAATGAGCACGCTTCCGTGAATAAATATGTTATTTGATAAGAACCTTTAGAGAACTGGTCACATACTTCCTCAATCATATTTTTATATAACACCCCCTATTTCGAGAAGTCCCAAATATTCACTTCCATTTGATGTTTCACAAGATAGTGTATACACTCTCATAAAATAGTATATACACACACTCTGCCAATCCATATCTAACACTAACTAGTAAGACATCTTAAAATACTAATTTTGATGTGATTTTCACATGTCTCATCAGCAGATTACATCTGTACTCAGTCAAACTCCAAAGGCCTAAAATATACACGGATCAAAATCACGGATGTAGACATTTTTGAACTGTTAGAACAGTCTCTTCTGTGAATCAAAGACAAAGACTACACATATTACATTTGAACTAGGGGTAGCAAGTGCGCGGTTTGGGTTGAAGTTGGGCGGTTTAAGATTGGCTGAATCACTAAATGGATCAGTGTCCAACCATGCCCAAAGGTTATATTGGCTATGATGGACTGGGCCAAAATGGGCTAAACAAAGGGACTTTTGCATCTATATCCGGTTCTCGGGTCACAATTGAACATATACCCACTTTGCAAAAAAATTTGCAAGCCTACCCACTTTACGATCAACTTCAGACTTATAGGGTCTGAAGTTATAAAAAATTAGTCTGAAGTGAAAAAATTGCACTTCAGATGTACTTAAAGCCAAATAGGTCTGAAGTGCAACCAATGGTTTCATGCACTTAAGGTCAATAAGTCTAAAGTGAAAAATTGCACTTCAGAGGCCAAAAGGTTTGAACTGCAATAGACGTTTTCCTACACTTAAGGCCAATAAGTCTGAAGTGAACACTTACAGTTAAGATGCACTTAAGGCCAAATAGGTCTGAAGTGTAACCAATGGTTTCATGCACTTAACACCAACAAGTGTGAAGTGAAAATTTGCATTTCAAATACACTTAAGGCCAAATAGGCCTGAAGTGCAAATTGTACAGAAACAGAAATTTGTTCTTCGAATTTTAACAATCCAATATACGATTCAATACCTAATTCTACTCCAAATGAGCTCAAATTTGAAACATAACCTCCAAAAATCATCAAGAACAAACCACAATCATCAATTTGTCAAAACAACAATAAATCTAGCAAACCCATTTTGCAATTAAAAAAAAAAAAGAAATCCTAAACAATAGTAAAAATAAAGCGCCACAACAGCTCACCACAGTAAAACATCATAAACTACTTTAAAATATGTTCACAAACACCATATAAAATCATTGTTACTCGAAGAAGAAAAAAAAAACTGAAGTTATTTAAACTGTGGGTACAAGTTAAAAAAAAATTAAAAGTGATGAAAGAAAGAAGAGAAAGTGAGAACGTATAAAAATGATTAATGGCTATTCATGGGTCAATTTAGGCTAAAACTATGGCCTGATCTGGACTGCTGAAAATATTGGGTTTAGTTGGGTTGTGCCTTAACTAGCCCATCACTAATGCATCTCATGCCCAACCCATTAAAATTTGGGTGGGTTGGAGGGGTCAAATGGGCTTGGGCTGATTTCGCCACCCTCGAACTACAACAAATGATAAATCTGTCGTTCGGACATCTCTAGCTGGCAGCGCGTTTTGGTTTGTCCCCCTTTTCCGCTAGGTTTTGAACGCTAGAAAGGAGCAGAATGGCATAGGGTAGGGCATTAGCTGCTTCAAAATAGTTTTTCTAAATACTATCAGTAGGCACTTGTTACTGCATATTTAATAGCATAGAGAGGGGAAAGGACTAGGAGACAGGCAACAAATAGTGGTGAAAAGTATATTATATCACACATCATCAGTCAGTCAGGGTGCAATACTCAATGCACTAATAGGCATAATTGAAATCCATGTAAAAAGTTTTAAACATTTATTGGTGAAAATACCACTCATTCCTCTTGTTACTGCATATTTAATAGCATGGAGAGGGGAAAGGACTAGGAGACAAACAACAAATAGTGGTGAAAAGTATATTATACTTATCACACATCATCAGTCAGTCAGGGTGCAATACTCAATGCACTAATAGGCATAATTGAAATCCATGTAAAAAGTTTTAAACATTTATTGGTGAAAATACCACTCATTCCTCTTGTTACTGCATATTTAATAGCATGGAGAGGGGAAAGGACTAGGAGACAAACAACAAATAGTGGTGAAAAGTATATTATACTTATCACACATCATCAGTCAGTCAGGGTGCAATACTCAATGCACTATGCATGATTGAAATCCATGTAAAAAGTTTTAAACATTTATTGGTGAAAATACCACACATTTCTCTTGTTAATGCATCTTTCATAGCATAGAGAGGGGAAAGGACTAGGAGAGAGGCAACAAATAGTGATGAAAAGTATACTATATCACATATCTTCAGTCAGTTAGGGTGCAATACTCAATGCACTAATAGGCATGATTGAAATCCATGTAAAAAGTTTCAAACATTTATTGGTGAAAATACCACTCATTTCTCTTGTTAATGCATCTTTCATAGCATAGAGAGGGGAAAGGACTAGGAGACAGGCAACACATAGTGGTGAAAAGTATATTATATCACACATATTCAGTCAGTCAGGGTGTAATACTCAATGCACTAATAGGCATGATTGAAATCCATGTAAAAAGTTATAAACATTTACTTGTGAAATACCACTCATTCCTCTTGTTACTACATCTTTCATAGCATAGAGAGGGGAAAGGACTAGGAGACGGGCAACAAATAGTGGTGAAAAGTATATTATATCACACATCTTCAGTCAATCAGGATGCAATACTCAATGCACTAATATGTATGATTGAAATCCATGTAAAATGTTTTAAACATTTATTGGTGAAAATACCACTCAATCCTCTTGTTACTGCATCTTTCATAGCATAGAGAGGGGAAAGGACTAGGAGACAGGCAACAAATAGTTGTGAAAAGTATATTATATCACACATCTTCAGTCAGTCGGGGTGCAATACTCAATACACTAATAGGCATGATTGAAATCCGTATAAAAAGTTTTAAACATTTATTGGTGAAAATACCACTCATTCCTCTTGTTACTGCATCTTTTCTCGCTTTTGAAGGCAGGAGGAAGATGAAGCAGTTGAAATCATTCTATCGGATGGCTACCAAATTGCCCATAAGTCCGAACCCTATCTCAAAATGTTTGGCAGTGGAAAATCCTACTTCAAGAGCCAACATCTCTAACTCGTTTCCTGTATCACAAATCATCCTTTTAACATGAATAAATCACAACAGGAACGAATACAACAATTTCACTAAATTAAGAGTCGTTTTCGCTTCACCAGGGAGAGATTTGATGTCAACTTCAGTGTGCACTCTTTTCTTTTTTAATTTTTTATTTAACCATTACAATAGTGATAGCTGGAAAGTTGTGATTCCTCTATTTTCTTCTTCAATGCATCATGTTTAGCTCAATCTTTCTCCCAGAGAATGAGTCTCCGGTTCTAATCAGTATGTTTTGTAATCAAGCAAGGGAGATAAATGAAACTGGACATGAAGAGATTTGAGAAATACAACCCAATTAATAGAATAACATGTTTTTCCAGAAGAAAATAAGGAATAGATGAAGAAAGGTTGTTTTTCTTTTCGACGGCCGATGGGTGCATCAAATTAAACTTATTTAAGACTAAGAGGTTACTCATGTTACTCTATTTCTAAATCCAAAATCTACATAACATATCTTAATACTATGCATGCAGAAGGCTTCAGAACTGCTTAGGGGTCGTTTGGTAGGGTGTATAAGAATAGTGTTGAATAAAGTATATTGATAATGCAGGAATTAGTAATGCATGGGTTAGTAATGCAAGCATTAGTTATGCAGAGATTATTTCTCATTCACTATTTAGTGTGGTGTATTAAAAATTAAAATGTATTGCATAATTTTTAAGAAAATTAGTTGTTTACAAAAACTGCCCTCCATATTCTTTACCTTTAAGAGACTTTAAGGATAATTTTGTCTTTAACCATGCTAATGCATCCATTAATAGCCTTGGTATTGTTAATACCATGGTTTGCTATGTATTAGTTATACATAGGATAATACCAAATAGGTTATATAACTAATACTTGCATTAGTAATACATAGGTTGAAAAAAGTGTACCAAACAAAGGATTAGTAATACCAAAAGTTAATGCATGCATTATTTTATCTACTGCATCCTACCAAATGACCCCTTAGAGTAGAAGTTAGCCAATGAAAACTGCTTAAACTACATTGGTGAAAGGACCGGACCTGTCAGAAAGTTCTTGATAGAGCTTTTCAAGTATTTGTACTCATCTTGTAGGCCATAACCACTTGCTACTGGAACAACTATATTGTCAATCATCAACTCCTAAATAGAACACAAAAAAATTAGATAAATATTATTATGCTACTAGTACTACTCATGAGAAGCGGGAGAAACATTAAGAAGTTTGCAAACATAACAATCTGTAAAAGAGATAACGGAATTATCAATAATGCAGAATAACAGATTAATCCCTGGCATCTGATGGATAGGAAGTGGCTTGCTTTTTGTCATGTGAACAAATATTGGTCCCGCCTTTACAGAAAAACTAGTCGAAAATGTATATGGATGCAGTTTCAGCATATAGCAATTTTACTGGCATTATGTGGGGTAATATCTTGAGCTATATACTTACACAAAATATTCAATCACTTAAAATTGTCCAACTTATGACGGTTGAAGATCTCTATTTCCCTTCTATATCCTTCTGAATTCTCATAAAGCAAATTCCCCCTTCTCCTTCCCCTTCCCCTTCCCATTCCCCTGCTCCCGCTTTTCCTGCACCCTAAAAGAACAGGATAAGCTTCAAGAGTCTACTCTGTTTCCATTGTTGTCATCATTTTTGCTAAGTAACAATATGTTCTGTATAAGGGCCAAAAAGGTATGCACTGACTACATTCTTAAAAAGCCAAGGAGGTCCCACTGAATTTCCTAATTTGCAAACAAGTGTTTCAGAAATGGTTAATGCCCATCATTATTTCAATTGTTCAGATGGAACTGCAATGATCCCTTAAAAGCATAGAAAGTTTTACATCAGATAAAGCAAAAGATAATGAAACCAATAACTTACTTTACAGATTTTTGGGTGATTAAGAAAAAATAATAAATATAGTAAAATAAATTTTTTGGGGTGATGCGAAAAGAATGTATTAACCTGCCAACAAATACCTNATAAAATAAAAAATTTGGGTTGATGCGAAAAGAATGGATTAACCTGCCAACAAATACCTGAATTGTGGTGCTCAAGGGGTTGATGCTTTTATTGAAGTCAAGAACAGATACTGTTGAGCCTGGTTTTAAGACTCGACGTATCTCTGTCATAGCTTTATGTCTATCAATCACATTTCGTAATCCATAGCCAATTGTAACGGCATCAAAGGAGGAGTCAGGAAAGGGTAAATCAAGTGCATTGCCTTCCATCCACCTTCATTATCATATGCATTAATACTTCACAATGACTAAGGGAACATGAAAAGCTAACTGGAAGGAGTAAGAAGGTAAGAGTACAGAAGATAATGCACATGTAACTGGTAAAAGTAGTGTGAAAACATTTTGGAACTTGACTAAATTTTATTTTTAAAAGCAGATTTTGCTAACATTTTGTTGGCAAATAACCTTCCAAACATAATTTGTTTGAATAAATTGACAGTTTAATTACCAATGCTCACTTAATGTTCTTGTAACATGTCTTTGAACGTAATTTCTGCCGAGTCGAAGCGGTTAATAATTGTTCCTTTGAGAAATCAAGACCAACCGCCTGCAAGGGAAAAGGCCAGTTCAGTGAGATTTGACATCAGAAAATTCATGAATTAAGATAACTAGCCTAGGCTACCCTTCATCAAGTAATCCACTTACATTGCAAAAATTAATCTGGATTTAAAGTACGCAAAATATAGTCAAATAACTGAGAAGATACATATTTTAGCGACATAAGAATCATGCCGCTCTGCTGTGAGCAGTTTTTTGTTACATTTCTGAAATAAATAAAAAAAATGGAACATTTAAATATGCGAAAAGTGCAGCTTTCGTTTGTTTGGGAGCCAACTCAAATGAAAACAATAGCCATTAGCAACCGAAAGACCCAAAAACATGAAGAACAAGGAAGGACAACAAAAAGAAACATTAATCATCAGGCTAGAAATTGACATAGGAAATATCATGAAACAAAACCCTGAGATCTGAGTACAACTAACTGGCTAAGATTTATAGAAGAACTTCACATATTGAAACAAATCTGGCATTCAGAAAGTTGAGTGATAATGCAGGACAGGATAAGTTGAGATTTGGAAGTAGTAAAACAGGAAACATTAGACGAGGGAACTTGAAAACTGCTAAATGATGTTATTATCTAGATGCTCACTAGAGGAGAAGAGGTAAAACACAGTTCACAAAATGAACCTAAAATGAAGACTTAGAGACAAACTAGAAGTGACAATATCTTACCAGGTTCAAGGTCATTCAAGAAATTTTTGTTTTTCCCTTTCGGTGAGTACTAAGGAGCTATAAAACTTAAGCCATAGAGATGGTCTCCTTTACTTAGTCATAGGAGCCATGATTTCTTCAACGAGGTTTTTCATTAAGCAGAAACAGATAGGCAGGAACTGGAAGATGCATCAAGCAACACAGGAATTTGCCGAGTTATGAAGGATGTCGATTAGCAAAAAAAAAAAAAAATTGACTGAACAGAGATAAAGAGTGAATTTCTGATTCTCATAACACAACAACAGGTCACTATAAAACAGTTAACGAGGCACCCAGGGAAGTTGCATTTAGTATGACAGATAAGTACTTTTTAGACAAGGAGGAGAAATGGAAACCTTTTGAAAGGAACTAGGAATGAAGGCACAAGTTTTTTCTCTTCCTTGTAAGAATGTTATCTTTCCTTACTTCTTATCTCCGCATGATAGTTCAATGCCACAGTAATTCATTTCTTTTCTTTCCTATTTTTCTTATTGCTTTCATTTACCACAAAACAAAGGAAAGATAAATATGTCTTGACATTTGGAAATTCCACAGGATCAGCTTACTGAATTTCTCAGAATGGTCAATGGAAGAATTGAGTTTCTTCAGAAATGGTGCATAATAACCAGCAAAACCGCAATGTTACATAAAAAATAAAAATAAAAAGGAATAAAACTAAACCAGAGATAGCAGAAGGAAAGAAACGGAGACCTTGCCATAGGATCCAACTCTTTCAGATAAAAGAAATGTCAAATCCCCACTTCCACAACACACATCCAGTACATTGTCCCCATCTTTAGCTCTGCAATACAATCTCGAATGTTCCAGCTTAACTAGAACATAAATGTAGTTCAAATTCAAGAATTATATGCCTAAGAACAGAGGTAAAAATCTGAAATTTCTACTCCCTCTTTCCCGTGTCCTGTCATTCTTCCCTTTAAAATGAATTTAAATAATATGCACTAACAGGGTAAGATTTTCGTTCATTTAATAGCCAAGTATAGTAATATAGTGCACATGGATTAGTTACTCTATTAGCAGGATAACTTAAACACATTCCTGATGTCCAGCATGTTTTCACTTTCCAAAAAATAGTTAAGTACTTTATTTCAATGTTAACCATTCTCAATTTATTTACAAAGCACAAGCATCTCATGCTTTACCTAGTGACAGATGCAGCTCTTCGGCTATGGGTTCATCCGAACCCAGTATTTCCAATGCCGAGTATGGATATATATGTGAAAACTCACTAAGATTTCAACAACTGAACGGTTAATTTTAAAAGTAAAATAAGTTCAGAGCTAAGAACTTTAACGGTGGAATGCATACTGCTTAAATCATGGATCTGCATTAGGCTTTACCCAAAGAAGGGCAACTAAACTTCCATTTTTTCCTAAATTCCAAAAATATGAAGGGTTTCAATGTAACAGGTCAAATTATCCAATAACAGTCTAAACTGGGACACATTCCTTAATTTTCTAATTTACATATTAACTCTTTATTTAATTAAATATTTGCAAAATATATTAAAAATATGTTCAAAGAGAAGATTTGGACTCCAGTGTCATATGAGAAATGGTAACAGTGTCAAATAAAATAGGCAGCAAACAACTGTCACAATTATTTCAAAGGTATATTTTTTCAAACTTCGTGCACAAGCAAACAACTGTCACACAAATTAGGACGGGACGGAAGGAGGAAGAAATTTTACCCGGTCCAAGAAACGGCCATTCTTTTCCATATACGGTGTTGACCTAAGCTCAGGAGATCATTCAACTGCAAACATGAAAATGTGCACACAGTAAACATAAGAAGTGACAATTTGAATAGTGAATGGAGATTCTTTTTAGTGCAGCAGCAGAGGTGGTGCGCACGTTATCATAAACAGGGGCAATGCGGTTAAAAAGTGCTTGCCGTTGTTCACCGGAACACCGAATTGTCGATTGGCGTGTGGGTCCGGGAAGTGAAGGAATAGCAAGGTGAAGGGAAGCCATTGTTACTCCTTTGTTAGCTGAAGCTCTTCCTCCGAGAATCTGATGATGACTTCTTCGTCTTTAAAGGATAATGTCAGTTTGGTCCCTCACTATTGTAAATTTCTCAATTTGAACCCATGAAATGATAAATGACTCCAAGTAAATTGAAATCAATTACTTTTGTTCAAGTGCTAAGCAAAAAAGAAGACCTTGAGGAAGGGTAGAAAAAATTAGGGGTCGTTTGGCTGGAAAAGAATTTATATCGGTATAAGTTATGTCAGTATAAGTTATATTGGGATAAGTTATGCTAGGATTGTTGTTTATTCATTATTTGGTATGTTGTATTAAGAATGACAATTACATAATTTCTAAGAAGAAGGTATAATTTATATCAATGCTAATTACCCCACCTTCTATAAGGTATAAGTTATTCCGGTGTTAAAATTAACATTGAAATAACTTATACCTGGTTTGCTAACGAAACAGAGTATTAAGGTGATATTAAATTTTTATATCACCCTTATACCTCGTACCAAATGACCCCTTAGTGTGACGTTATTTGACTAGTTGCAAAATTATATAAAGAACTAAAATTTGTGGTATAAAAAAAGATACAAACATTTATATAATAATAAATTATCTCTCTAATCTTCCGCCCAATATCTTTAACAAGGTTGTTTTTCCACTACCATACCCCACTAAGGCAAGAATTTTACCCTTCATGTTATACCCTTGAGTATCTGCTTGTAATTGTCATGCTCAAACTGGGAAGCTACCTTTGATACAACTGTCTTGGCAGAATTGTTAAAATAAAATAAAAAATTTAAATAGGAAAAATATTTTTGTTTGACAAACTATAAAGAAATTATGACACCTATAATTGGAAAAAGAAGTATTATTATATGACAAATTAGAAATCGATAAAATAATTTTAAATCCAACATAACTAGAACTACTTACGATGTATACTACTATCATATGGGGATGACAAGCGGTGCGGGGTGGTGCACATTCTATTTTAACCCGTAAAATTTCAACCTATCCCGCCCTGCCTCGAAGTGCATTGTATTTTGACCCACGTCTACATGTCCCATTAGATTTTTCTTTATTTTCTTAAATTTCTTTTTGAAATACCTGCTAGGCTTCTTCAGTGTTAAATTTACAAACTAACCTTGAAAAGAGTCGGTCCTTAACTTTTATGTAACTTGTGCAGGTTTAAGTTTTCTGGTGTGGTCCATTGAGTTACGACTTATCAACGATATGATCTTAACCATTCCAATAGACGAACCTTTCTTATGTGAATTTACATTCTTGCTACCTAATTAATTTCATCCGACCAATAGGAAAAATATTAAGTTTAACCATAGATAAACTTTTTGCCTTTTAACCTAAACGGTTACCGATTAGTTAGATGTGTTGAGTTGAGCATGTTCTAGCATGGATGTGTTTTGATGATTGATAAACTAGGATCAATTGTATTGAAAGAACAGATTTTATGAATAAGATACTATGCTACTAAACTGGTGTACATATATGATATGCAGATGTCAAAAGAATCAGGTTCATGGCAGGATGATGCAAAATGCTGACTAGAAGTGGAAAGAGAAAATACATGTGCAAGTTGGATTCCAGAAGGAAGTCAGTTCACGTGCAATAAAAAAAGATCTTAACTGGAGAAATCTATGTTCTAAAAAGGTTTCAACAAATAAGGGATGAACTTGCATGGAAGGAAAAAGTTGATGAGGTGAAAACATATAGGGAAACCAAATCAAATTAGGAGAGGTTTTTCTTAACCAAAATATTCTAGGTTTTGAAGCATTAATTGGAGAAGATTTTTTGCCACATTCACACCTATATAAAGAGACATATTGCTATAGCTCAAAACAATACTATTTACAAAATTAAGTATTTACTCTTGGCAATAGCAATCATGGAAAGAAGGTGCTCTCAAAAGATTCAAGCTGCTCAACTAAAGAACCTATTCCTAAAGATGAAGCTGCTTAGTTCTTTAGTTGTTAGGTTGAATCTATTTTTCTTGCATTATAACTTATTTACTGTTGAGAAGTATAATCATAGGTTAGAACAAAAATATTGAAATTTTTGTGTCACTTTCTAGACTAGAGTTAGTTTAGAAAGGGATCGCTGCAATTTGAGTTGATAGTAAGGGTAGGGTACTAGAGTTAGTCTCATTGGTTATTGAGTTGTAGCCTAAAATTGCTCTTTGAAAAGGTAGATCATGATTTTTACTCCCCTGAGCAAGGAGACTTTCCACGTAAATCGATGTGTTCTTTGCATTTCGCATTTTACTAGATGTTTGTGTTTGTCTTGGATATATCAAAGAACTAAGTTATTTGATTTGCAAAAATCGGGTAAGACACAATTCATCTTCCTCCCCCATCTTGTGTGTAGGTGCAAGCTAAATAATAATTAGTATTAGAGCATGTTCTTTTATTAGAGGCTAACATCTTGAACGGATCCAAGATGGTTGCACCACTAGACGCTCAATAAGGACAACCAACTGTTACGCCATCATTGTTTAATAGAAGGAGAAGACTTGGAATTTTGATACATCGTCGAAAAAGGCCCTAAGATTAGGGGTGGGCATAAAATCCGAAAAATATTCCGAACCGAACCGAGTTAATTTGGTATTTCAGTTTCAGTTTTTCGGTATTTCGGTACAGAAATTATGGTATTTCGGTAGTTTGATATGGTATACGGTATTGATTTTTGATATTTTGGTATACCGAAATAGTTTAATCCAAGCCCAATTTTATTTTTATTTTTTAGCCCAATAACCTTAAACCCACACCCCAAAAGTCCAAAACCCCTAATTCCCTAATCCCTTACCCTTAGGCTTAGTCCCTTAGAGTTAGAGGCAGACAAGAATTTCAAAAAACCATCACGAATTTAAGTCAGGATCACCCATCTCACGAGGTGGAATTTCAGGACATTCTAAAGAACGTGAACTTGAACTGCAGCTACTGGTGATATTTTTCCCTAAGCTTAAAGGGTTATGTGTTCCATTGATATTTAGAGGACCATACTATGAATCAAATGATTGAGTTCGAATGTGAAATCTTGAAGGGCCGAATATCTATTGAGCTCTGTATTAAAGCAGAGGATGAGCCTTGTATCTTCTGAAGAAGCCGAGGTATCCAGAGATGGCGAATCATGCGTTGAAATGCTGCACTATTAGAGTCAGTCTTCAAATGCCTAGCTTGTTTCTGCACCCTTGTTCTCCAGTAATCTTGATTTTATTATATGTTCTTGCTGGTAGATATTGCACAATTTTTGACCATCTATACCATTGTCAAGGAGAATCACACCAGTTATTATGGTGAATATGTATTAAATCAAAATCGTACCGAACCAAAATAAAAAATACCGAACCGTACCAAAGTCGTACCGAAATACTTTGGTACGGTATTTGATATATACAATTAATAAACCGAATATCGAAATACCGAACCGAAATTCTTAAAATACAAAACCGAAATACCTCATGCCCACCCCTACCTAAGATTCCTATGATGACTAGTGACAAAGGACCCCTACTGGACCTAATCCAGGAGACAAGTATTCTGAATAAGATATTAAGCAAATTCAAAACAATGTAAAAGCCAAAAAGATCTTAATATGTGGCATTACACTAGATGAGTACAATTGAATCTCAGCATGTAGTGATGCTAAATCAATATGTGATGCCTTACAGTATGCTCATGAAAGTACATCCCAAGTCAATTAGTCAAAGATTGACATGCTCACTAGGCAATATGTACTTTTCAAGATGAAATGTCAAGACCCAAACTCTCACCGGAGCCGTGACGATGCCTACACTGCTTGCTAGGAAAGCCAAAACTTTTACAATAGCAATAATCATAATAATGGAACTATATAAATCTCAATAGCGGGATAATCATAAATTATCTGAAATGACAACAATAATGTAGCTACAACCATCTCATGATCTAGTGTCAACGAGTATATGAGCACTACAAAATCTCGTAATACATAGTCAATTCTCAAAACAAAAACTGTCTGAATGGTAGAACAATGATAAACAAGATAAACTAAAGAGAACTTCAAGGACTGCGAAAAACATAGTAGCTAGCTCGTAGTCTCCACAAGCAGGAATCGGTGCAGACTCTAGCAATCACCACATCTGAAAGTACCTGGATCTGCATATAAAGTGAAGACTGTATGTCACGACCCTAAACCCGGACCCGGTCGTGATGGCGCCTCTCGTGAAGACAAGGCCAGTCGACACATTTCCGATTCAGTTTTAAGCAATTAAACAATAAGCATTTAGTCTTAAACATGATATAAATCCAAAAGTAAGCAGTGACAGTACAAAATAATTTGCGGAATACAACCCAACACAGCCCGATATCGGGGTGTCACTATTCATGAGCATCTATCAATCCACTACAAGTCTAAAATGCCTACTAAACCATTACAGAATAACTGATAAAGATATAGAAATGAGATAAAAGGGGGAAAACACGGGACTGCGGACGCCAAGCAGCTACTTCGTGGACTCTGAAGTCTGCCGGGAGCTCTCAACTTGCGCTAGCAGGATCAGCAACGCCTGAATCTGCACACGGGGTATAGGGAGTAAAGTGAGTACTCCAACTCAGTGAGTAATAATCATAAATAAATGACTGAGAGATATGAAAACACGTAAGGCACATTACAGGCTATAATGAAGCAGTAAAACCAGTAGAAATAGTAAATCAGTGAAGATATGTAAAGTCATTTAGTTCAGTTTAAACTTCATGAAATGTCTTTTTAACAATTAAGTAGATAAATGACAGGCAATAAGAAAGATAAACACATAAAGGATTGCCCCTCGGGCAATATCATAGAACAACACAGCCCCTCGGGCTATCTCTCACATCACAATGGGTACCCGCGCTCACTGGGGGTGTGCAGACTCCTGGAGGGGCCCCTTACGGCCCAAGCGCAATATCAAGCCATCTCATGGCATCATCACTAGGACCTCAGCCTCATATCAACAATCCATCTCGTGGCATATAAATCTCAAGCCCTCGGCCTCATAATCATAATCAGTGTTTCCTCACAACATAGGCCCTCGACCTTGCTAAGTC